AGCGAGCGATGCTCTGACTACGAAAGTGTCTATAAGCTATAGGTGACCGCGCACAATGACTATATGCCGCAATTTTAGCGTTTACTGTTACTATTGTGCCATTTTTTTACCTATTAACAAAAGGAAAATGCGGCAATAATTCATCGTGTGTCGTGTTATACCTTTTTTTTAATGTCTGGAAAATGCTTTACGCATTTTCCGCCCACCGGGAGAAGCGTAGCGGAGTTATCCGGGACTCCTCCCCACTCATTTCACCCAGTATGGAGACTCGATGAAATGAGTAGGGCACTAACTACCTAACGGTAACAACCAGACAATACTCCTGCACCTGTCCACTGGCACGTATCCGGTCCTCGACGTCCTCGACCGCAGTCCCTGACATACGTGTCAGTAGGGCGGGCATTGCATGGTACGCCCCAACGAGATTGGCCACGCGCCCGCCGGTGGTGTCTTGTTTTATCTATGTCGAAGGTCCTCCTCCTAAATCGAGGTAAATTTTCTGGGACGGAAAACAGCGATAATATAAATGTGAATTCTTATCATGTATTTTTCCCACCTTTCGTTTTCATTGGACAACTTTCGGGGCAATGAGCGCGATAGGCACCTACAACTAAGGCGCTTTGCAGACGACTGGGCGGGGCGGGCTTTTTGTCCGCGAAGCAATAAAAACCGCGTCTGCCCGTCGATGTCTTCGGCTGCCCTCGCCGCGTACACAAAGCGCACGATGGGCAGAGGCAGTCAGTTCAGGACGTTCGTTCTAGTGAATAGCACGTCAGTTAAAATGGAGATAGAGAGAATTCGAATCGTTGCTTATTTCATGTACAAAAAAAGGAAGAGACGCAACCGTGATAGAGAATACTGGGTACACCCACTACTGGGTACCCCATCACTAAAAAGCGCGTGGCGCGGACTGAGCTAGCCGCCCCGCGCCGCCGTCTGCGTTACTGCATATATACTTGTTTGTATGATGCCCGCCGAGCACCTGCGGCGCGGTCTTTTTGCCCTCTGTGTGCGTTTGTAGTATAGGATTCAATTTGTGCTATCGTTCGCGGCGAAATTGTCCGGCCCGCTCCGCCCCGCCTTCTGCAAAGCGCCTAAGGGAGGGTTGTTATTATGTAAGTAGATCTCATTGTTGTTTTACTTAATAGTTAGTTAGTTAGAAATAAAGGTTCACTGCTCGTTCCCCGTAGGTGATAGCATGATAATATGTAGCCTATATGTTGACCCGACTTCTTAATAATATTCGTGCCAAAGGACATTGCTCGTTCCCCATACATTGAATGCCCTAGATCGCCCAGCAATGAGAAAATGCTAGTTGTGTTCGGAATCATTCATAAACTCTAAATAAGCATTTGTTGAGATACGGACAACTTGAGGAACCGTGGCCTACTACAGAATGTATTAGATTTTGAGGTTATAATTATTATACTTAATCATAAAAGATGTACACTTTATATATTCTGAATAGATTTAGTGTTTACCCCTATGTAAGCACTTAAATAATATGCATTAAATGAACATAAAATGCAATTTATAATAAAAATAATAAATGCTTATATTCATATTGATTTTACCTGTAGTAAGTAATGATAGATTTCTTTTCAAATGAAATGTTCAGTCTTTCCATTTACCTGTTTCTATATTTTACTAACGGTAATTAGGTATGTAGGTACCTGGTTATCATTATGATTTTCATAAAAATAAACAGATATTACATGGGATGAGAGTATAAACTATCTTTAGATAATTTCAGAAATAATCTTTTTATAAATATAATATAAATACTAGTAATAAGTATTATTAACTAAGGTACCTAGTTCTATTTTTATGTTGATAAATACCTATGGTCGCCTATATTGCATTACTAAGGTAAACAATCTTGGCACAACTTTTTAACAGAATCACCCATTTAATAATATAATATTAACGAAGAAAATAAACTATTAAAATAAATCGTTATTATAGACTGAAACCTATTGAATCCAGTTATCAATTGATTTTTAATGCTGTATTTTCAATAAAAAGGAGTGCCAAGTTGGATGAACAGATTGTAGTATCTAGTAACAGAACTTTTATTTTTTAAACAGATTGTCCGTTTACTATGATTAATTGCTAATAAGTTAAAAAAATAATAGAAAAATAATAGTGAAGGACATTCTTCTGGGCATGCTAGGGCCGATTTCGTCGATGTCCTTTGAAGTAGTAAATCCATGCAGTACTTATTGAGTTTATCCCGGACATACATACAAACAGACAAAAATTCTAAAAACTATATTTTTGGCTTCGGTATCTATTGTAGATCACACCCCAAGTATTCTTTAATAAAATCAATGTACAGTTTTGATTTTCCTACCATTTTATTATATGTATAGATGTCACATACATAAAATAAAATCGCCAGTTGGACTAATTTAGTTCATACGACGAAGCTACCTACCGCGCAGTACAAGATCGAACTAAGTAGCTTTTTATATTTGTTTGGTTGGATCTTGTACCGCGCGGTCATATGAACTTAACCTTAAAGTATTTATGTGGAGGTTAAAAAATACGACAGCATTAACATGAATATACCAATAATAACCCACACCGCCGCAACTCGATTCGTTTATTTCAAGTGTTCTTTGTATGAAATTATTTGCCACATTAATCAGTATTATTACGTAATATTCACCTCGAGGTGATAGGCGACGCGGTGCTGATTCCGAGATCCGTTTTCAATCAGTACCCCTAGCACGGACCATTATCGAATTCGAATAGTTTGCAAACCGAAATGTCAATGTCAAATTTTGTATGGAAACTTGAACAGCAGCCGCACAAAGTACGTAACGAGAACTAAAAATCAGTACACATTTGACAATGACATTTTGGACACGCAACGATAAGAATTCGATATTGGTTCGTGCTAGGGGTACAGTTATACATGAGCAGAAAACAGTGAAGTGTGGTTACGTGTACTCAGAGCCGGATTTAAGGCATGCGGGGATGTGCCTAGAGGCCCCCAAAACAAAGATAAAAAATAACTAAATTTCGCGGGTCACCAACCATGGGGAGAGGGGTTGTGCAAATAATAAGTGGCCCAGGGTTCCAGATTTTAAAATTGGGGCCCCCACTCCTTCGTTGTCCCAGGACCTGTAAATCTGGCCCTGCGTGAACTTACAGTCTGCTGCATGCAGATTGATTACAAAAATAAAACAATAGTTCGAACGAATTTTTATATTAACCTAAGTTCACAAATCACAACGTTTAAACTATACATAAAACATAACTCTCATTATCTTTCATTCAAAAATGCAAAATTGATTACCAACAAACTAAAAGCAAATGTTTATGACAACAGTTTCTGCTGTGTTTAAAATAATACACTGGTTTCAATAAAGGCACTACCGAATTTTCACTGGCAGATACATGATTATATTTATTATGCAACCCTTAAAAAGAATAAGTATAGGTGGCGGCAAACTTTTTTAGCAAAACTAAAGACAAACTTGCAAAACAAACGTTTTTGTATGTAAAATTGCTAAGGCGCAGGCTTCATTGTCTATAGTCGTTGCTCAAGATGTTTGCCAGGATATAAACTTAATCCTAAATCAGAAATAGGCATGATTAAAATCTTTTTAATATGGTATGCAGTTTACGTAAAACCATAGATTCAATTAAACTAAATCTATATGTAAAACTAAGCGCATGCAATACCAATAATACAAATCAAGATATCACTAAGCGCCTGCGCTGCGTTAAGCGGGAGCACGGAGCGGCCGTCTGCTCCACGTGCAGTTTCATGTCATTTCATAGAACAGCGCTGCGACGGGACCATAGAGGTATAAGTATAGATTAGGCGAGATATAGACTCTACTACAAGTGGAAGTGTTCCTCTAATAGAAAGAGAAAGAAGATGAGAGACCAGCTTTTCTCTCTAATCGCGCATGCGCATTGGCAACCGTAAGCATCTTACTATTTCGATGTGATTGGATGCCATGCGTCACAAGAGAGAAAGATAGCTAGCGGTCTCTCATCTTCTTTCTCTGTCTACTAGACGGACACTTTTAGAGCCGCCTTCCCCACTCTATTCGTATACCTCGATGGACGGGACAACCACCTCACGCAACGCTGCTCTTTGAAATAACAAAAACTGCACGCGTAGCGGACGTCCGCATTTCTGCATAATTTTAAATAAAAAATTATCTCAAATCAAGTCAATGCATTGGAAAATTTATAAGCACCTATTGTTATATTCGAAGTAGTTACATGTAGGTAAAAATATTATACAAAATTAAAAGGCAAAACCTACTACCCTACAAGTGCTCTAAAACCAAACCAAAACTACCACTACTCGCAAAACTTCCTTGCACTACAAGTATTTAGATGAAATAACCAAATATTTTTTTTAACATTACAATACACACAGAAAAAAATGATAATGCTTCATTATTTTTATATAAACCAAAAAAAAAACAGCACTGGTCTCGATTACTCAAGTCACTAGAAAAATGTTTTATATCTTTAAATAAAATATGTAATTTTTTTTAAATGTGTCAATGCATTACCGCTCGTACATACTATAAACATGTTAACCGTAGGCTAGAACTAGGTCTTAGGCAGTTTCTTTCAATTGAGACCACTACAACTTGATCAATAGGTATAATATTTAAATCTAATTTGTACCATTCAAATGCATTCATGTTGCAAAGTATTGTCTAAATGAGCGTCATTACAATATTTTTATAACGAATGTAAAACAGTGCTTTCACTCATAAAAATTCGTGTGTGCACTCACAAACAATCTAATTGACAGTAAATTGTACATAACTTGATTAATGATTAAAGAAAACAACAAACCATTGCCATAAACTTAGCAAGTTGAAAAGTAATACATTATAAACTATCTTAGTAATCCATAATACTACCTTAAACTGTATTTCACTGAATTGTTACATTTCTAAGTGCAATTAAATATGTTAAACATAAATAATTCCATGGCGATCCAAAAACTTCAGCCAACCTCACATGTCCAAATCAAATATGAGATCATTTTTGAACGATATTTCTACATATTGGCCTTTGTTTAACTTATCAGGATTATAGAGATTTGTGTTATGTTTGATGTTATCACAGGTGACAGGATCAGGGGTTTTCTTAGTTTTCTTTTTAGTTGTTTCAGCATCTGACTTCCATATAGTTCCTTTTTGTTGTTCTTCACTACTACTCTTTTCATTTACCATGTTTAACATTGATTCAAATGTATAACTTTCAGTAGTATCACTGTCACCATTTACGTTTCTATCTGTGTCCTTATCGTCCACTTTTTCAACGTTCAACAGTTCAGAATATATCGTCGTTCCATTTTTACAATCGCCTTCCGCATCTGATGTGTCCGCCAAGCCGCTATCGCGCCTCTCCTTCAACACGGACTTCAATCTGGGCTTGGATGACTGAAAAAATAAAGGAAGGCAAGTGAGCAATTTTTGAAATGTAATGGTCAATTCATACTAGCGCAGAGTCGAAGCGCATCAAAGCGAATTCCAGAACGGAAACATAGCAAATTCACCCTTATCTTCGCAAAGTATTGCACATTTTCCTTCTGAACTGATAATCAGCGGCACTCAGTCGAATTCGCGCGTCTTCTTACCAAAATATATTAACATCAGGGGCTAAGGCCTTCCCTATCGATGGAATAGGGAGATTGGGCCATGACACTCCACGCAGGGCCAGTGCGGATTGGCGGATGCTAACGACTGCAGATGCAGCCGAGACCAACGGCTTAAGGTGCTTACCGAAGCAAGGAGGAACTCGAGATAGTAAATATTTGGTCACCCATCGAATGACCGACTACTGCGAAAGTTAATTAACTTCAACGATCGCTCCTCAAAATAAATGAAAAGTCAAATTACTGCTTTTATATTCTGTAAAAATTTAATTTAATAAAATTTGTTATTGGTTGAAATATTTATAAGTTAATATTTAAAGTGAACCATTAAGTCTCATGTTATCTCGTTCTGTTACTATCCCAAAGTGAAGTCACTGAATAGGGCAGTTAGCCACAGTTGAAAATTTTAAAAATATTCATAACTCTGTTAATGGAGCACAATTTAAAGAAGATGAAAGAAAGGATGTATTCTTGTACACATCTACACATGACTCATAATTTATGAAGGACACCAACATTGATACTGAACACTTGGGTCAACAATAAAGATTAATATGATTCATGACAAGTTAACAAAACAATGGAATAAAATAGACTATTTTTAACAATGTTACATTAATTTATGAACAACATATTTTTTCTTAGATAAAAACATTCTAGCATTAACTACCTACTTAAAAATATAATAAATTCTGAACTATTGACAACAAACAGAAGTAGTAACCTCCACCATACAGAGGTCAAATAATGTGGTGGTGCCTGTTGGTGGTATTGCGTTTCTGACAATGAAGTTAATGTTTTGAGTAAGGCACAAAAAACGTTACCATTGCCTACCCTGACGTTATCCCAAAGTTCAGCATAGGCAATGGCAGAAGTGATTATGATATCTGCATCTTTAGCCTATATATGCCGCGTGTTCCTGGCACGACCATGATGATCTTTAGATGGCAAAAAAATTACAAGATTTTGTACTATTATTTACCACTCTTTAGAAAATTTCTACCAACTAGTTCTAGGAGATACAATGGTCGTGCTGAGAAGAATACTTCCTAGCACGACCTCGCCGAAACTTGTATTGTTTTGGGGAAATTAAAACAGTATAAAGCAGATTACAATATCTACTTTCTTTTAAATTCTAATTTTCAATACAGTATATAGATTTCAAAAGTAATATCTTAAAAATAAGAGTTTATAGTAAATATTCTAATTCCCCAGAACCACCAGTGACCGATTACCAACGAGGGCATAGTTTGAGGCCCGAGGCGCAGCCATGGGTCTTAATACACATAAGTTGGGAATAGCACTTTCTTTCAGTTCACTTAGTTTCTTTTAACTCCGTGCTTCGGAAGGCAGGTTAAGCTGATGATGATGAATTGAGAAAGTAAACAGTGGTGTCGATTCTAGTATGGTTCTCTAAACCTAAACTTAAATTTGACCACAATGCATCCTTGTCATTCTCTATACAGAATGAAAAGGAGAGACTGATGTAAAATTTAGTTTTAAGTTTAGAGAATCATGTCAGAATCGACACCCGTTAAAATTTTGAAATAAATTGCGAAGTCTGCAAAATCAGACTGACTACTCTTTGAAACATAAATTAAAAAAACAGTGAGTTAAAAACGGATTTTCATACACTTTTCCAGCCCCCTTAGTTGTTACCACAGTAATGAGGTCTTTTCTACTTCATATTGAAAACAAGCATAAAGCACTTTCCAAGCAGGTGTAGTAAAAGCTATTTTTCCAGAATGTAGGTTGTATATCTAAGATTTATTTAAGAGGATATTAGTAAGTAGGAGTAAAAAATAGTAGATATTCTAAATTACTTTATACTGTTATAAAATCCCCAAAATATGTCAAGTTTCGGCGAAGCCGTGCTAGGAAGTCGTTCTTTCTAGCACAACAGTCATATTTCTGAGATTCAGATAGTAGGTAATTCAAAAATAGGCGTAAAAAAACAAAAAATTCTCTAAGCTATTTAATATTCTTTTGAAATTTAATAATAACACAGGTTTCTGTATAAGTAGTCGTGCTAGGAAGTATTTTTCTCAGCAACACCATTGTATCTCCATAGATCTTTGTAGAAATTGTCAAAACAGTAGTAAATAATAGTACAAAATCTTGTAAATTTTTTACCGTTTAAAGATATTAGAAAAACATCCATGATTGTGCTAGGAAGTACAACACTATGCTGCTGGCTGCTTACAGTGATATCTGTACAGTCATATGCCTGCTTGCCACTCTTTTTACATAAAAAATAGTCCCATATAGCTTGTACTAAGGAAACTAAAAATTAAACTATTTTTAAGCTTAAATATTGGTGACCAAGAATTTACTATCTCAAATTCCTCTGTGCTTCAGAAGGCACGTTAAGCCGTTGGTCCTGGCTGCAGTCATTAAAACCCACCAATCCACACTGGGCCCCTGTGGTGGGTCATGGCCCAATCTCCCTATTCCATCAATAGGGAAGGCCTGTGCCCTAGCAATGAGGATATTAACAGGCTGATGGTGATGATAATAACAACATACCTTATTAGAGTTAATTATCTCATCTTCTGCTTCACTTTCACTCTTTCTTCTTTCTTGGGTGCGTTTTTTACTTTTCTTTCGCTGATTCTTTTTCTTCTGGCCTTCTATTGATGAATTGTACCTAGAAAGATTTAAAATGACATTTTAAAGTAGGTTTTCTTACAAATTATTAACAAAATATGCTAAGTAAGCAGATAACAGGATGTTATTATTACATTTTGGTCATCAAAACACCAGGTTAAATATGAAAATCTTATAGGTAGGTATAATGAATATAATCTTGATAGTGATAGAAATTCTATCAATTGGTGTCATTTATAAACAAAACTAAAATCTTATCAACATGTTTATGGAAGATATGATAACAGGTAAGATTAAAATATTATTTTAGTTTGAGATTTAATAATTACTATAAACATATAAAACTTTGCTTTAAACTCAGTAATTTGGAAGACTGGTGGTCTGCTTACTCTATCAAACAAACCCACCCTTTAGAAAGCAAAAATATATTTATTTCTAAATTACTCAAGTGCTTATAGCAATCAAAATCCTATTATTGTTCAGTTTTAATAAATAATAATAAATAAATAAATATTTCCAACACTCACACCAATTAGCCTAGCCCCAAAGTAAGCACTATAAGGCTTGTGTTATGGGATACTAGGGTAATGGATAGAATACATATACTGTACACATATATTATAGTAGAAATACATATTAAACATCCATGACTGGAGTACAAATGCTCGTATTCATCACACAAGCATCTGCCCCCACTGGAATTTGAACCCAGGACCTCTCCTCCAGGAGTCAGCGACACCATGAAATCTGGCATATAAACCACTCGGCCACGGAGGTTGTCAAATCATATATCTCTTATCTAATAGACTAGTCCGTCCGTCCGTCCGTGGTGCTGTTTCAGCGGCCAAACCGTAAGAGATAGATATAGAGAATGTTCAAGTTATAAGTTAAGAATAGTCTGACAAGACTACAAACCGGATGTGAGTAACGTAGCACTTCCGGTTTTCGAGAAATCTCGTGATTTCTATTTCAAACGAAACCACACAAAATCTCCGAAGTTCTCAATTGATTAAATACATTTTTTTTTTGTTTTGGTGAACATTTGGTTCACTGGTTTGCTAGTATAATTTAAATCATTTCAAAAGTATTGGAATTGCAAGTCTATATGTCCTTTAAATAGGCTTTGATGGCTGCTTAGCATCAGGTGGGTCTTATGCTTGTTTACCACCTTCTTAAAGTTAAAACTAAAATTATAACATTAAAACATTATTTTTAAAGAATATTCCACAAACTTACCTATAAAATTGTCTTGCAATGACATCATTAAATCTAACAGTCTTTTTTAAGCTACTTTCTTCTGGTATGCAATCAGAGCTGATGTAATCCATAGATGATGCAACATCAGCACTAGATTCAGAGAAGCTACGCATCATTGATATTGGTTTACGAAGAATGCTTTTTGCATTGTTGTCAGAACTCCCTTGGTCAGTCCATACAATTTCTCTTTCTTTTTCAATAGGAGAATCAATATCATCCTCATCTAAATCGTCTTCCACCAGATCGTTCTGCTGAGAAGAAACTAGAATGTTGGTCTCTGATCCCAAATTAGTAACTTCTACAATTGGCTGCGTAACTTCCGAAGCAGATTTTTTTCCTTCATCAACAAAATTTTTATTATTCTTAGTAACAAAAGACATGTCAAATTCTTCATATGTCATACAATCTTCATTCAGGCCTATTTCAAATTTTTGTGGAACATCACCAGTGAGTTCAAGTTGTAAAATTACATTATTATCCCATGCCTCTCCAGTCACATTATCAAATTCTATACTATCTTCAAACTTAATTATAGCAGCATAATGCACAGGAACAAACCCAGATCCGACAGATGTAAACTTAAGAAGCACCTTATTATGAATCCTCTCAAATTGCACAGAATCTGGCTCAGTGTTTTTGACATGAAAGGTGAATGCAACAACATCATCTAAAACATTATGTGTGTATGAAGGTAAAATGTAGCCAAGTGCTTCATTGAAAAAGGAACTATTTACAGATTTAGTATCTTCAGACATTTTCTTTGATGATTCGGTTTTTGTTGAGGATATTTCAACAATTTTAGCTTCTCTCACATCTTCATCACTCTGTGACCCAGAGTTCTCTTCACTTTCTACACCACTATCAAATTTAAGCGAGTTCATTTTATCACTGTTCATATTTTGCTTCGTCACTGGTAGAGTCACTATCAATGTGCGTCTGCTTTTATCAAACTTAGCACTACCACATTCATCATTTACAGAGTATGGAAGGGTTATATTTAATTTATATCTTGCTGGTCTTTCTGATTTCAAAACTAAGGACTTTTCCTGAACATCAAGGATACAGTCTTTTGTAGATGACAGAAGAGGAAGATTTACTTCAACCACTATATGACTAGGAATAGCTGCATATTGCTTGCAATCTTTATGATAAGTGTAATCTTGAAAATCAACATTTTTTTGTTGTTTGATAATATACTTGGGTACTGTGTATCCGTCATCAGATGCATGCAAAAACTCTGATTTGCTGCTTTTCACTTTATGGTACAGTCTTTCTTCTGCATGAGAATTTTTCTCAGTAGTATAATTGTGCTGTGGGTATAATTTTTCTAACAACTCTGCAGACATTTCGTCGGAATCTTCCTCAGTTGGTGGTTGAAAATTAGGGTCCTCTTTTCTTATTACAGCTGGCATATTCATTCCCTTGTAGTGAGATTTAGGGAAGCGTAAATTGTTGTTATCAAAGTGGATATTATAAGTGTTTTGAAGTCCTTCACATGCAGTCTTGTTTACCAATTCGCGAAATTGTTTATTAACCTCTGCCATTCGCAAAGTATCCGGGTGAAACACTACGTCGTAAATGACACATCGCTCCCGTTTGTGATCATAATCTTCCCTTGGAGGAATTATTGAATACGGTAACTGCCAGTTCATCCCTTTCCGGCCATTAACTTCATGAACTTTGCAGGATGGTTTGTCGATATTTTCATTACTGCATATGTTTATAAAGGCTTTTCTGTCGCCTGCGACACTGGTTTTGATAACATAGCCTCCCTTTGGATTTATAAATGTTACATCGTAGCCACGTTCTTTCTCTAGCTGGGTCATTTCTTTCTGATACAAAGCTTGATTCGCCGGGTCACGTACTTCCTCGCAGTAATCGACCAACAAGTCACGAAATTTTTTGTTTTTCATTGCTTCTTGAATAACTTCAAGGTCGGTGCGAGTGAGCTGCGAATCTTCATCACGAGGTTTTACTCCCGTTGCCATTTTGTATAGTATTCGTTGAACTATTTATAAATAAACCCTCCTGTTAATAGTACTACGCATCGAAAATTTTAGGTTCAGCTGACGAATGACGGACGGTCGAAATCTTGGGTCTCTGGATCCGGCTGTTATGTCAATTATTTTTCACTATGGTTAGTATGACCAGCAATAAATTAGCGGTCCTGCTTCCTGCTACTTTTCTTTATTAAACTTGATAAAAAAAAAATTGCTTGTTAAGAGAGGTAGGGCGGAATTCGGTTCGGCGGTAGGGTAAGTGTGTATGTTTGTTACTTCTTCACGTCTAAACGGCTGGAGCGATTTTTATAAAATTTGGTATGGAGTTAGCTAACACCCCAGATTAACACATAGGCTACGTTTTATTGCAGGAAAATATCCCTGATAAACCGCGGGTAACACCGCAGGGCACAGCTAGTATTATATAATAGTTATTATGAATAGGTTAGTTGACTCATGTCAAATTGCACTCTACAAATGTTTATTTCTTATAATGTTACTATTACCAATTCGTTGTATTTTTAAAACATCGATGCATCGAGTATATCGAATCGATTCAATGTTTTTCATTGACAACATCTATATTTTCGATGCATCGAATGTACTACTGTGACGTCAACAATTAGTAAATGTTTTAGTAAACAACCTAACGTCACTGTCGTGTTACTGTCTTTGTCGTGTACTGTTGGTGTCTTTCGTCGGACTAAAATATATCTAAAAACTCTTACATCTTGTAGAAAAATTTTGTCCTTCAAAATTTTGGACTTCGTGGCGGGGAGACCAAAGGCACAGGCGGTGTGTACGCCTTTTCGCCGTGTTCATCCATCGGTGACTCACGGGAGACTGACGGCAAAATGACATTGATCAGTTTTCCATCAGTCCATTCCGGACTGATGTAAAATCACAGACATATAATACTATAGCAGACGGAACATAAAACCTAGTTATATTTATGAATCAAAACATGATCTTTTATCCTTTTTGTACTCAGCTACAACTTGATAGTGGCATCTCATTCTTTCATCTATTGCAATACTGACTCACACATCAACAAATGTCGACGCGTGTCATTTTTATTCCTCGCCGCCATTTTATACATGACTTATCGGACATGCGACTTTTCGGTGTTTATTAAGAATATTGCTTTGATGAAACTATATTACAAAACGAGATTATTCAATTACTATGGTCAAGTACAGTGCGTATCGATGTGAAAGTGCTACCTACAATAGAACACCAGGATTAACGTTTCATCAGTAAGTTTTTATGTGTCTTTGTTGTGTACTGAAATGTCTTTGAGTCTTTTTGAAGCTTATTTAAATATTATCGTAACATGTAACATTTTTTACGTAGGATTATTTATCTAAGATACTACCGGCGAAAAGTAATATCTTAAAAGTAAAGAAATAGAAGTAATCAGGTTATATCATGATAGGAAATTCCAATTCTGACAACTGAAGTACTATTGCCATAACAGAGGACGGACTCGGTATCAAAGACAAAAAGTTTCTCGGCATTAATTTTGTTTGCATTACATTGTATTATGAATGTGAATGCAATCAAGAACGTAAATAGATAGGCACCTATTACAGACTAGCTATTCATATTTCTTGGAACATTGGCATCGGTAGGTATATAACCCAAATAACCACATAAACAATTTTGTTCTAGGTTTCCAAAGGATAAAAGTATTCGGAATGCATGGTTAAAATCTATGAAACGTCAGGATTGGCAACCAAATACTTATAGTGTTTTAAGTGTTTTTTGTTTTAAAATAAACAAAAGTAATGATTTTAATAGTTTGATTAAATTCATATGTGATTATGTCGATTATTCAATATTTGACTCGAACAATCCAGATCATGATATAAACCATGTCCACTTGCTTATTAAAGTTGATAAAATTTTATTTTGATCTTAGATGTAAACATCAATGTTAAGAAATAAATGTATCTCAGAGAAATTTTCTAAAAAAACTTGCATTATTTCAAAATAAATAGATAAAAACTATGCTTTAATTTTTTATTTCAATTTTCCTAATTGTACCTATGTCCTTTCCCTGGGTTAATTCTATCTCCGTGCTCAATTTCATCATTATCGGTTCAGCGATTTCGCCTGGCTAAATTCGCCATGAAGATATTAAACAGACAGATTTTAACATTTATAATATTATTAGCATGGACATCACATTAGGACCTATCTATTCGGATAGGTATTTCATGAAACAATAATGAAATCCATTATTCTACTATACTAAATGCGGCCCATGCTTTGGTAGAGTTTCAATGTGTGTGTATTTGCCACGCTGTTTAAAACTGAATATTCCGTCTGCTTCTAGTTATATGTCTGTGTGTAAAATATCAAAATATTTAAAATTCTGATGGACTGATAGATCGGCTATCAGTCCATCAGTCAACGCATTACACGATCAGTCTGGTGTCAGTCGACTGACGACGACTACGAGACTGATGGACTGAACTGATGCCAAACTGATTATGTAACCCACTTCTAAAGGGCCCCATATACGGAACGATACGTCGTTGCGATCGATCTGAAGGAAATCGTCAACGATCGATCGTTCAGAAATGCCACTACATACACGAAACGATTGATCGTTAACGATTCGTCGTTGCGATCGATCTGAAGGAAATCGTGATCAATACAGACAATTGGTACAGATCAATCGTACCGTATATGGGTCACTGACGATCGATCGTTTACGATATTCATGATTGCATGGGTTTTTGCTGCGATCTCCGATATCGTTTGCGATTAAGTAAATCGTTAACGATCTTGACATACACTGTCGATCCATCGTTTCGATCGGTCTGAAACGACGGATCGTACAGATCAATCGTACCGTTTAAGGGACACTGACGATCGATCGTTTACGATATTCATGATTGCATGGGTTTTTGTTGCGATCTCCGGTATCGTCTGCGATTAAGTAAATCGTTAACGATCTTGACATACACTGTCGATCCATCGTTTCGATCGGTCTGAAACAACGGATCGTACAGATCAATCGTTCCGTATATGGGCCCCTTAATAGGTGCCATATGATCTTGGTCGCACATTACCCGTTTTTTCCGAACCCGTGAAGTCTACAATTCTGAACCAAAAACTATTAATATAGCAGAATCTTGCTAAGTATAGTCATACTTAATGTGGTCTTAGGGTGCGGCCAGAGTGCACTCAGATTCAGATTCAGATTCTGAAAACAAGCGCGAGAAATAAACAGTGTAGTCGAAGGGTACGGCCAGAGTGCACTCCGATTCAGATTCAGATTCAGACTCAGAAAACAAAGCGCGAGAAAAAGCAGGCAACCTGCTTAGACTACACTGATTATTTCTCGCGCTTGTTTTCAGATTCAGAAAGCAGGCTCGTGAGATGTCAGCTTGAGGAAAGCAGGTGATGGCCACAGTGGAGGCAGATTACAAGACGCCGGACGCGAGCACTGTTGCCAGGTTGGGGGGGAGTTACCCGAAATTTGGGGGGTTTTTAAAGCGATGGGGGGAAGAAATTTTGTTTTGGGCGAAACGGGGATTTTTTTATTACATTTTTATATAAAAATAAAACCAATTCATAAACTTTTAATCTGTAAAAAGTCGCAATCGACAGTCATTCAACAGTCTCTCTTTCTCATTCGACGCGTTCGGAGTCATAAAGTACATTGTTATGTGTTCGGAGTTGTTGATCCAGAAACTTAAATTGGGGGGTGTTGTCGCATTTGTAAACATGGAGTTTTCTAATGAAGATCTAGCGTGCTTGTTAATGGCTACTAATAGTTGTCATTATAAATTAAGACGTGAGAGAATCGGTGTTCACGAAATTAATAAATTAAGGAGTGAATATGGGGTATACCACCATTTGTTTCCCCAATTAAAAGACGATAGGAAACGTTTCTTCCAATATTTTAGGATGAAAGTGGAAACGTTCTACTACATTTTAAAAAAAATTGAACCTCACATGATGAAGAATTGGTGTAATTTGCACAAACACAAGATTCTTCCAGAAGAACGCCTTGTTATAACCATTAGGTAAGAATTTATTACAATCTCACTAATCCTGATATGATGGGAAAAGACTGTCCGGATTAACCGGAAAGCTGGGTCTGGATTCGCGAGGGTAGTGTAATTTGAATAATTTGTATGGTTTATAGTATATGTAGGAACAATGCATTAGTAATACAAAAAAACGCTATGTTAATGAAATTATTTTTAATGATAAATAACATTTTTTTATTATATAATGTGATTTTCATATCTAGGTTAAACTTTAAAATTTTAAAGTAAATATTATCATAAAAAAAATATAAACAGATAATGACTAATAATATAGCAGTTTTGTTTAATATAAGACTTTATATATGTTTGCTCTTAGGAACTTAAAATTTCAATCACAGCTTTTAATTTACAATTTACTATACTATCACAAATATTATATTTATATAATCCACATAATTAGGGTGCAAAATTATGGCTAACTATAAAAAGAAACTAAATTTTTTGGTTATTAAAAGAATAGTATGTCTGTTTGGTTTATTATTAAAGTATATGTTTGCTTTTAGGAATTTAAAATTACAACACATCACAAAAATCACATCTTTTAATTTACAGTTTACTGTATTATCACAAATCTTATATTTATATATAATCCACTTAATTAGTGTATAAAATTATGGCTAACTATAAAAATAAAGACAATTTTTGGTTATTAAAAAGTAGTATGGCAGTTTGGTTTATTATTAGACTTTATATGTTTACTCTTAGGAATTTTACAATTTACTGTATTATCACAAATCTTATATTTATATATAATTTACTTAATTAGGGTACAAAATTATGGCCAACTATAAAAATAATATACTTAAAACATTAACTATTGACTATATTCAAATTCAGTGAGAGGAACCACAATGAAAATGTAATCTACTAGTGAGTAGATCTACATTTTCATAGCGTAGTCATGGTAGATGTCCATGGCACTGTAGATGTTGTAGGTGGGGATGGTGTAGGGTGAGATGATGAATCATAGGACGGAAAATTTATCATGGTTGTATGCGAATTCATCGACAACCTCTTGAACTCGGTTTCTAAACCTTAATTTCCTATGGGGAGGAATTTTCTTTACATGAGGCAAAAGGGCACGAAAAAATAGAAGATCATCATCTTCTGTTTGCCGGTTCTTCAGTGTGTCTTCCAGCAGTTAAGCCTTTTTGTCTCTATTTCTATAATAGCCGCATTATACTTTGCGTTGCTATCATGTCGCCTTTTTTGAGTCTTCTTGACCTCTTTCATTACAGCTTGAGAAACATCAGCCATGCTGCAGGGGGCGCCCTCACTCAGGTTCTCATTGAAATCTTCACTAACATTCTGAAATTCATCATTAATTTCGATAAACTCCTCTTATGCATTTATAGGAGCTGCTTCAGTGTAGGTTTCCTGAGATGGCTCCCTGAGGTTTCCTGAGGAGGCTCGCAGCCGTACAATATCCTTTAAAAATAATAAAGACCTGTAATGAGGCCATTTTGGATCATGACTCGTTTCCCCTCCTGGATCACCTGAACGTGGTTATTTAATTTTGCTGAATTCCACACAAAACTGGTCCCTTAAGTATTTCCACTTTTTCCTAAGAGCAGTTTCTAAAAAAAACAAGAAAAAATAATTTATTTCATATTCTATGTCACAAGAAGAAAAATAATTAAATGAATTTGAAACTGAATCAATATCTTGAGAAAATATTCAAAATAGACCATGATGTAGTTCATGATTTATCTGCAATAAAATACTTTTATTTTATAAGTAGGTACTTATTGTGTCAATGTTTGAATAAATTATTATTAATAATAATTTCAACACAATGTCAAAGTATTGTGAGACTTATGTTTTTTTATTGAAAAAAAATGTGTACCTATTTATTGTAATTGTATTCTAAAAGTTTGTTTCTTTGTTTTAGATATCTATGTACAGGGATACCATTTCGGGCCTTGGCTTTAAGTTTCCGGATGGGAAAATCCACGATTGCAGATATTGTCAAAGAAACTGTAGAAATTACTTGGAAAAAATTGCAGCCTTTACACATGCCAGCGCCAACAACCGATTTCCTTAGAGAGAATGCAACCGAATATAATAATATATGGAACTTCCCTCATACTATTGGGTGCTTAGATGGAAAGCATGTCAGAATTTTATGTCCCAGTAATTCTGGTTCTATGTTTTACAATTATAAAAAAAAATCTGTAGTTCTCCAAGGATTGGTTGATGCTAAATACAAATTTATAACCATTGACATGGGAGGATTTGGCAAGCAAAGCGACGGAGGAACTTTCATGGCCTATTTAATTTAATTGACAATCAAAAATTAAAGAAAAGTTTACTAGAAAAAAAAAATCCACGCGGACCAGGCAGCGGACGGGACTCGAACCCGCATCCTTCTCTATCCGGGCGAATGCACTGACCATTATGCTACTACGGCCCTTTTCTTTAGATTTAAACATCTAGCAGTATTTTACTGCTAGATGTTTAAATCTAAAGAAAAATCATAATCAGCAATAAAAATCAGCTTAAAAAAAAATCATAATTAAAAAATAGTTATCACACAGCGTGAATATCTGCCCCACACTAATGTAAAGGCACCATACGTGATTCTAGCAGATGAGGTGTACCCTTTACTGCCATATTTATTGACTCCCTACAAAAGTATGTGCTTTTGGGATTCTTTATTCCAAATGGCGCATTCTCTCTAAATCGATAGAGACTAATGTGAATCTCGCTGACAGTATAGTCAAATGTGTGTGCGTTTTGCACAACACCATTATTAATGTAGAAGGGATTGAAGGCATCTGTCAGAAGTTAATATACAAGGGCAATCTGTTACTTGGGACCGACGCGGTAGCATAGCGACTGATGCTAAAAGCATAAGGGATATTTTTTGCCAATATATGGAAAAACATCCCTTACAATACCTGGATTACTGATCACACCATAAATAAAATGTACATTTGTTATTTTTTTGAATAATTATTAGTTTAATTTTTTACACTTTTTGTCAAGGTTGATTGGGTGACGGCCGCCCAGAAGACTCCCCTTCGGGGTATAGGCCAATAGTGGTGCTCGACGATGCTGGGAAATTCCTAGAGAAGATCCTGGCCGTCAGAATCGTCGAGCACCTGGAGGGGCAGGGCCCGAATCTGGTCGAACGCCAGTTCGGGTTCAGGCGCAACCGGTCCACTATGGAGGCGGTGTAGTCCAATCATTATATACATTTAAAAGTGAAAATGAACCGAGAAATTTTGGATATCACGTGGGAGGTGGCTAGAAAAGCTTAAGTTCAAATTGTCGACCAAAATAACCTTGTGCAATTTCCGCCATCTTGAAAAAACCCTTAAATTCAGTTTTTTCATCATAACTCGATTCCCCGTTGAGGTACGAAATTTTTTATAGAATACTTTTTTGTTGCTCTTCTTGCGATCTACAATTAAGGTCCCATGCATTTTTCACGTATCGATCGTCGTTTTCGAGATATCGATCAAAAATATCAAAAATTTGGGGAGAATTTTTTTTTCGCTATTTCCTTTTTTCTGGTGAAAGATATCGAAAAATGTTTAAAATAAAACTTGTAGAGCGTGTCCAGACCTACAAAACTCGTTTTTTTATTTTTCATTTCCGACAAAAATTACGGCCTCTAGCGCGCCACAAAGTCAGTGAAACTGCCCGGTTTTCATTTAGCCGCTCGCTCGGTTGTATCCACGCGTCAAAATGGATGGAAAATGGTTCAGGGAATTATTGCAATACAAAAAAAATTCATAAACCAGCCAAATTAGAAATCAAATACATGAAATTTATTGATGAAATAATTTAGACGAAAAAAATAAAATAATAATAATGAAATAATTTAATTTTTTTAGACGCGTCGGGCGCGCTGGGGCCGACTTTGTGGCGCGCTGGAGGTCGTAATTTTTGTCAGAAATGAAAAATAAAAAAACGAATTTGTAGGTCTGGACAACTCCACAACTTTTATTTCAAACATTTTTCGATATTTCACCAGAAAAAAGTAAATAGCGAAAAAAAAAATTCTCCCCAAATTTTTGATATTTTTGATCGATATCTCGAAAACGACGATCGATACGTGAAAAATGCATGGGACCTTAATTGTAGATCGCAAGAAGAGCAACAAAAAAGTATTCTATAAAAATTTTCGTATCTCAACGGGGAACCGAGTTATGATGAAAAAACTGAATTTAAGGGTTTTTTCAAGATGGCGGAAATTGCACAAGGTGATTTTGGTCGACAATTTGAACTTAAGCTTTTCTTGCCATCCCCCACGTCATATCCAAAATTTGGCTTTCTCGGTTCATTTTCATTTCCCCCACGAGTGCATTATGGAGGCACTAAGGTTTCACCGAGTGCCTCCATACCTGTGCGCCATTGTAGAGGACTACCTACAAGTAGGGTTGCAACGATATATCGGAATATCGATAATATCGAGACCAAAATATCGATATTTATATCGATATTTGAAATTCACTGATATCGATAATATCGATATCGGAAATTCCAAAATATCGATATTTCGTAGACTAAATTTAAACACAATAATATCAATTGATTTACCTGCTATGACTATCTAAATTGAATAATATCGAAATAACTATTGCTTTGAAATCGCAAGAGCTTATAGATGTATTAAAAAATCTAGAACCCCAAGAAGTATACTAAACTACAACAGTGTATCCTTGTCATTCTCTATACAGAATGAAAAGGAGAGACTGATGTTAAATTGTGTCCGTGATGCTAGCGTACCCATGATCAATATACGGTTTTTCGTTATGCCATTAAATACTGCGTAAATAGTGCCAAATTAGTGTAAAAATAAAAAAAATAGTGCCTCTTTAATTTAAGAAATAAAGACCATTTTTACTGTGTACGCTACCATGACGTCAAGCTAGCGTACCCATGGCCGACCCCAAGAACGGCATATATTTAAGCAACAAAATTGACACACAAAAATAGTTCGCAAATAGTGCCCTGGCTTTACAAAATTTCATAATCAATACTCTTAAAGGACCAAAGATATTGAACTAAACATTCTTAGCTGGCGTCAACCTGGCGTACCCATAATAGATCTCATAGAAAATTAACTTTTCTCGTTATCAATTCTATATGTATAAATAGTGTGTCAAATAGTGCCTCTAACAGTAAAAGTATTTTATGTTAATTCGCAGTAAAACAATATAAAAAAAAGCAATTAAATTATTTTTATATATGAAGTACAGTCATGTACAGAAGTGATAATATTTTCGTAGTATAGTAGGTAAGTAAGGTACTTAGTAGGTAGGTAGGTTGAAATTCTTATATGAATTTATGATTGGTGTATTCGGATTGAAATATAATATCTTTTTATAAAAAGTACCTATTTATTTTAGTAAAAATACATATATAGATAATCTCTTAGTGCATAAATTAATTTTGTGTGTAACTGTACTACAATACATTTGTTCCTAGAATTTAACACCCTCTTTATGTATTGTTGTGATGCGGATTCACATAAAATACTTTTACTGTTAGAGGTACTATTTGACACACTATTTATACATATAGAATAATTGATAACGAGAAAAGTTCATTTTCTATGAGAACTATTATGGGTACGCCAGGTTGACGCCAGCTAAAAATGTTTAGTTCAATATCTTTGGTCCTTTAAGAGTATTGATTATGAAATTTTGTAAAGCCAGGGCACTATTTGCGAACTATTTTTGGGTGTCAATTTCGTTGCTTAAATATATGCCGTTCTTGGGGTCGGCCATGGGTACGCTAGCTTGACGTCATGGTAGCGTACACAGTAAAAAAGGTATTTATTTCTTAAATTAAAGAGGCACCATTTTTATTATTTTTACACTAATTTGGCACTATTTACGCACTATTTAATGGCATAACTAAAAACCGTATATTGATCGTGGGTACGCTAGCATCACGGACACTGTTAAATTTAGTTTTAAGTTTAGATAATCATGCCAGAATCGACACCAACGTATATAGGTATAATCGTATACCTAATGGTAACTCATGCATTTAAATAAAATACTTGCCTCTCTTTCTAGATAATTGTCAACTACTGATTAATTAAAATTTAATATCATTGTAATATAACACAAAATAAAATTAAGAATCTTATCTTATACAAATCGTAATTTTTTTAAGCTCGCCAAGCCAAGAAAGTAAAATAGGTATAGTAATTTTGGAAGCTTTGGGCTTACCCTATTCTGAAGCCATGGGCACGCCCCTGGTGTGTAGGTTTTACTAATACATAACAATTGTTTTTCATATGATTATCTATTCTGATTTTGGCTGCGTGCAAACATTTTAAACAAAAAAAATATCTTTGATTCGAAATTGCTTTTGATTTGATACTTCTTACAGCGCTATTAAAATATAGAAAATGTTGGAATGGCTGATATATCGGATCGGATATCGATATTTACCTGCCCACATTATAAATATCGATATTTCGGAAACCTTTGCTCCCTTAATTATAGGTTTTTGCTTTGCAAACTTAATACAAAGCAAAAAAAAGAAAAAATATCGATATATCGATAATATCGAGTTAAAATGGTCGATATATCGGATATCGATATTTTCCTGACTTCGATATAAATATCGATATTTCAAAAGACTTTGCATCCCTACCTACAAGGTAGGGTGGTCCTCTACGAGGGGCCCGACGGGCGCATCCGCTCGCGGGCCATGGCCGCAGGTGTACCCCAGGGTTCAGTGCTGGTTCCTCTGCTCTGGAACCTGGGGTGCTGCGAGGCAGCCTCCTTCCGGGAATGGAGGTTGTCTGCTTCGCCGACGACACTCTTGTCGCGGCGAAGGCAAAGGAGGTGGAGGATGTGGTGCGTCTAGCGTCGGTCGGCACCACGATGGTCGTCCGACCCATCCACCTCCTGGGCCTAGAAGTGGCCCTCGACAAATCGAGGCCATGATGTTCCATGGCCCACGCCGCAGCACCCCTCCGGGGCTCCGTATCCGGGTGGAAGGGGTCCAATACCGGTTGAGGGAAGCATGAAGTACCTCGGCCTGGTATTGGATCTCCGATGGAGTTTCGAGGAGCATTTTAAGCTCCTCACTCCACGGCTGTGTGCCGCTGCAGCCGCACTCGGCAGGGTCCTCCCGAACGTGGGGGGACCAGGTGCTGCGTGCCGTCGACTGTATCACGGGGTGATACGGTCGAAGGCATTTTACGGAGCTCCGGTTTGGGCTGAGTGCCTCAAACCCCGCACGAGGGCCCTCTTGCGACGTCCGCAGAGGGTCATCGCGACCCGGGCGGTGCGAGCGTACCGCACGGTCAGCCACGGCGCTGCCTGCGTGCTCACAGGCGTGACGCCGTGGGACCTCGATGCCCAGATTCTGGCAGAAATGCATCGGGGTCGGGTCGAGACCAGGCTGCGGGGTGAAAGACTTGCCCCAGCAGAGTTGAGGCAAGTCCGTTCCATCGCCGAGAGCGAAGCCCTGCGCCGATGGGATGAGGCACTCGCCCATGTTAGCGCCGGCCACCGGACAATAGAAGCGAAGAAGAAGAATTCGTCCGGTGTTGGAGGAATGGTTGGGTCGCCAGCGCGGCGGCCTCACGTTCCGCATGGTGCAGATCTTGACCGGGCATGGATGCTTCGGTCACTATCTGCACCGTGTCGCACGTCGGGAGGAGACGCCGCAATGTCATCATTGCGGCGCCCCGGACGACACGGCCGAGCACACCTTATTGGAGTGCCCGGCCTGGCGACACCAGCGCCGCGAGCTCATTGCGGCGCTGGGATGCGGAGCCCTCTCGCTGCGGAGCATGGCCTCCACCATGCACCATGCTCCACAGGGCATGGGAGGTGGTCGCCTCCTTCTGCGAGAACGTTATCTCGCAGAAGGAGGCGGCTGAGAGGTGTTCGGCCAAACCTTTTTTATAACTTTTTAATATAAACACCCTGGCACCTTTTTTGACGTGTTTTTAAATTTATATTTTTATATGTCAGTCTGTATGTCTGTTTGACACTCCTTTTTACTTACTTGTGTCTGCATATGGCTTGTGTGTTTATTTTATAACTCTCATATATTATATAAAATATCTTGTAGCTTATCCACTGTGTGTGTTTTCATTTCTCTTCTAAGTATAATAGGCTATGCGCCCAGAGTGCGCAGAAGAAGCTACAATGGAGAGTTCCACAAGCCGTGCCCCTGTAGTAACCGTAAGCCAGAATTCATTTCCAAAGCTAACCGGACGTACAAATTATAATACCTGGAGCTTTGCCATGAAAATGACCCTCATTGACGCGGATCTCTGGGAAGTCGTGGAGAAGCCATCTTCTTGTGCGGCTAAATTGACGCAAGAAGAATTTCAACGCCGTGATCAACGAGCAAGGGCTAAAATCTCTCTCCACATCGCCGAGAGCATTTACCCCTTAGTGATGGAATGTGACACATCTGAAGTGACTTGGAATGCATTGAAGAAAACGTATGCAGATAGCAGTCTAAGTAGACGTCTGTCACTCTTAAAGAAGCTGTTCAATGCCAAACTCGAGTCATACCCCAACATCGAAGCCTACATCAACGACATTCGCAACACACAACAGAAAATATCTGCCATAGGGAAGGCAATAGGTTTGACAGATGAGTATCTACCAATGGTGATGGCTATAGAACACTCAGGCGCTACTCTTACTTCGGACTACGTCGCAACAACGCTTCTCAAAGAAGATCATCGTCGGAGCAACGCTACGGTTACCAATAATGTTCTTGCTACTACTTCGAAGAGTTCGAAGATCGTGTGTACATATTGTAAAAAAATAGGACACCACATTTCAAAGTGCAGGATACGATATAATAACTCTAAAAGGAATAAGGGCACCGGTGACTCCAAAGCTAATTATATATCTAATTTTACACTTTTATCATCTTTCACTTCATTTACAGGCCAACACTCCCCTTCTTTATCCCAGGATTGGTACATAGACTCAGGAGCCACAGGGCAGATGAGTTGTTATAAGGATTGGTTTATTGACTACAAACCTCTCCGACAACCATTTACTGTAGCAAATAAGGAAGTTGTATATAGTGAAGGCAAAGGTACTGTTTCTGTAAATATTGATAATAGTGTAGTTAAGATTTCTAATGTTTTATATGTGCCTCAACTTTCGACAAATTTATTATCAGTTAGGGAATTAGTTAGTAAGGGTTTTGTAGTTTTTTTTTACCTAAAGGCGCAAGAATTTTGTGGCAGAAGGATTGTAAGGTGTCTGGTTCACTAGAGGGTACTGCTTCGAATTTTGGAGGCATGTACAAATTAAATACCTTACCCACCACTAATCGGGCATATCAAGTTCATAATAATGAGCCCATTTTTCTCTGGCACCGTCGTTTAGGTCATTTGAACACAAAATACCTCAGAATGGCTGGTCACCCTAAAAAGTAGTTTATTTTGTTTTAATCGGGGGTAGCAACTATTTAACGATTAGTAGCAATTAGAAGCAACTAGGTAGCAACTTTCTTTAATTATTTCGATGTAAAATATGGGTAGTGACCGGCCATTCTGACGCTCACCAAAATTCTAAAATGTAAACAAATCGGCATTAATTTCTCTGACAGGTTAGATAAAAGTCAAAGTTGCGTTCCGTGTCTACAAGGCAAGTTGTCAAAAAGACCTTTCAAAAGTTCAGGAAGTAGGTCTAGTCAAAAACTAAATGAGTTTACAATCATGGGGTGGTTGTCTATACCTACTAACATTCACTGACGACTTCTCTCGAAAACCTTTGGCTATTTATTAAAAACCAAAAGCGAAGTTTTTACGAAGTTTGTAGAATTTAAACACCTTGTGGAAAATCAAACGGGCTTTAATATTAAGGCACTCCGATCCGACAACGGTCGTGAATTTGTAAATAGGGAAATGATCACTTTTCTTAAGGAGAACGGCATTAAACACCAATTATCCGTACCTTACAACCCTCAACAAAACGGTGTTTCAGAAAGGGTCAACCGAACCGTTATTGAAAAGGCAAGGTGTATGCTGCAGGATGCCAACCTTCCTAAGGCTTATTGGGCCGAAGCTGTAAATACAGCTATTTATTTAAAAAACCACTCGCCTACACCGGCATTGAATTATAAGATTCCTGAGGAGGTTTGGACTGGCAGAACCGTCAACATTTCTCATCTGAGAGTTTTTGGGTGTGTAGCTCACGCATTAGTCCCTCAGGAGAAACGGACTAACCTAGACCTGAAAACTCAGCCATGCATTTTTGTAGGCTACTCTGACGACTGCAAGGGTTATAGGTTAGTCGACTCAAATAACCCTCGAAGAATTATGACTCGAGATGTAGTTTTCATGGAAAATAAGTTTGTCGACAATGGTGAGTTGTCCGAACTCACAAATCTTGTTGACCAACCACTAACCACAATCCAAATTTCTACACCCGATCCTCCTTCAGATTCCGTTCCCGGTCCTTCGACAATTAATGATGAGATAGCGGAATCCCAGTTGTCTGAGCCATCATCTCCTGAACCGATTTATATTGACCCACTATCCCCTGAACCCATTTCTATCGTCCCACCCTCTCCTGAACCCATTGATATTGCCCCTTTATCCTCTCAAATTTCAGATGAATCCACGTTATCCTCGCCGCGTGCATAAGCCGCCCGAACGGTACGACGCAGGCGCTTACCTTGTGTCTCCAGATACCGAACCTGAAAACTTCAAACAGGTAATGGATGACATACACAAGGAGGACTGGCTGAATGCTATGCAGTCGGAATATTACTCTCTGATCAAGCATGGCACCTGGGTTTTAGTTGACAGGCCCACTGATAGGAAACCTGTCAAATGTAAGTGGGTTTACAAAATTAAGAAAAACACTAATGGGGATATTGTCAAATATAAAGCCAGACTTGTTTCTAAAGGGTTCACACAAGTCTATGGCGTTGACTACGGAGAAACATTTTCTCCTGTTGCTCGGCTGTCATCCATTAGACTTCTTCTAGCTATCGCTGCTAAGTTGAATCTTGGTGTCGAACATCTGGACGTCGAAACAGCGTTCCTTAACGGCGATCTAGAAGAAGAGATCTACATGGAGCAACCTGAAGGTTTCTTTACCGATGGCAACAAAGTCTGCCTTCTGAAAAAGTCTCTGTACGGACTCAAGCAAGCACCCAGACAATGGAACATCTGAAAGTCTGCGAAGCCATGGCAAAACTGTCACTGACTCGAGCCGAGTCCGAGCACTGTATTTATTACAGACGACACAACGACAAACTTATTATAGTCACCGTTTTCGTGGACGATTTTTTTGTTTTTAGCAATTGTGACGTCATGGCCAATTCATTTAAAATGGGCTTAAAACAAACTTTTTCTATTAAAGATTTAGGATCCGTTAAAGATTGTTTGGGCATGCGAGTTACCAAAAGTACTGATGGCAGCATTGGTCTCGACCAAACCAAATATATAGAAAAATTGGTTGAGAAATTTAATTTACAAGACGCGATACCTATAACAACTCCTTTAGAGCCTGGACTTAAATTGATACTACCTGAGAAAGATGATGAGCAACCCGACTTACTGTATCAGCAGCTCATCGGTTCTTTAATGTACATCTCCATTGGCACAAGACCTGATATGAGTCGTATAGTATCAAAGGCGGCAAAGTAGGGCGAACCAAATATTTGGCAAATCAAAAAAAACTGTTTAGTCTCGTCTTTAAGGGAGGATTTTTATAATTGACATTTCACAACAATTTGTAGTTATGATGAATGTCAATGAACATAAAATCATTGCGCAAAATGAACCACAGGCACCATAATAATAAAATAAATATTACTATATTGCCGCCTTTGATAGTAAATTATTAGAATGACCGATTTTGAACCAAAGCTTGGCAAATATGGCCGCCTTTGACGCGAACTAAATGTTATGATAGCAGAGTATGAACAGGGTTGTCAAAATTAAAGTTAGTTATATTTAATTAATATTTTTATTGAAAATTAACAGAAATAAAGAACAAATAATAGACCAAAACTAAAATCATATTATTAAAAATAAAAAATAAATAGCGACAACACAGTCGGCTACGCTGACGCCGACTATGGCTCTAATTTAATAGACCACAGGTCATACACGGGGTATGTCTTTACTTCAAGTGGCTCTGCCATATCCTGGGAGTCAGGCAAATAACGCACAGTCGCACTCTCCACCACTGAAGCCGAATATATGGCCCTTGGTGAAGCCACTAAGGAGGCCATATATTTAAGGTTTCTGGTGCGAGATGTATTCAACCTAGACTACCCAATAACACTTTACAGCGACAATCAAAGTGCCATACAACTCACCAAAAACCATACTCATCACTCACGCACTAAACATATTGACATCCGGCATCATTTCATTCGAAATTCCATAGCCAGTTATAACATTATTATTAAATATATTTCCACTGGCAGTATGGTCGCCGATGTCCTTACTAAGGGCTTGCCTAACATAAAGCATGCGAAATGTGTAAATAGTTTAGGTTTAGCGTAGTAAATTGTATATAGTAGGGGCATTATGCTAGTTTAATTTATTTTCGGATGTTAGTGTTAAGATGTGTAAATAGTGTGTTTGTTTTTTTTCCTTTTTATATGAGTTTGTGTTTTTGAGTTGTTCTTGTATACAGAATATGTACATATACAGGGTGTTCATATAACGGGGAGGTGTTCGGCCACTTTGCCAGAGCGCGACGCGCACTATGAGTGTGTAACGTCTTCGCCAGACGTGCCAGTTGGAGGGGAAGGTATTCCTGCTTCTGTAGGCAATGTCAGTCAGCGACCTGTTCGATCTACTCATTGTAACATGCCCTCAAGGTATAGAGATTATGATTTTGATTTTTTGCTCATGGTGCATGGAACATCTCCACTTGATGAACCTCAAACTTATGAGGAAGCCACTACATGCACGGAAAGTGATGAATGGCAAGCTGCTATGAAGGAAGAGTTCGACTCTCTTCTAGCAAATAAAGTTTGGCGATTGGTGGATCGACCAACTGACAAACATGTGGTAAAATGTAAATGGGTCTATAAGAGAAAACACGATTCTTCGGGTAAGTATGTTAAATATAAGGCTCGATTGTTTGCCAAAGGTTTCACACAAACCAAAGGTATTGACTATTGCGAGACCTTTTCACCCGTTGTTCGGCACTCTACTTTGCGATTATTGTTCTCTCTCGCAAACGAATATGATCTACAGATAGACCATATCGATATTAATACCGCATTTTTAAATGGTGAACTAAAAGAGACCATTTACATGGAACAACCTCCTGGCTTTGGCGTTGGGGATGACAGAGTGTGTTTGTTGTTAAAAGACATTTATGGGCTTAAACAAGCCAGTAGGATTTGGAACCAAAAAGTACATACTTTGTTATCTAACAATGGCTATAGTCAAAGCAAATGTGAACCATGTGTGTATATTAAGAAATATAATAATAATAATTTAATAATAGTGGCACTGTATGTCGACGATTTTTATGTTTTTTACTCTGGTAAAAATGATTTGTTACCATTATTAGAAAGTAATTTTAATGTTAAGAATTTGGGCGAATTAAGAAATTTTTAGGCATTAGAATTACTAGAGACAAATCAAAAGGTATTCTAAAAATAGACCAGTCAGAGTATATTAAGAAACTCCTTATTCGCTTTGGTATGGAGAATTGCAAACCAGTTGCAACTCCCATGCCTGTAAATTGTAAGCTTGTAAAACCAGAGTCGGATTCTGTTTGTGATGAAAAATATCACTACAGGCAACTGATGGGGTATTTTATGTATTTATCTGTGTGTACTCGACCCGATATTTCATTTGCCTGTAGTTAATTAAGCCAGTTTAATACTTGCTTTGACATCACTCATTGGCAAGCAGCTAAAAGAATATTGCGTTATTTAGCAGGAACAATTCACTTCTCCTTATCTTTATATATATAATTCTTCTGTGAGTGTGTATGTCACTGAACTTCTCTTAAACGACAGGACCGATTTTGATGAAATTTTTTGTGTGTGTTCAAGGGGATCTGAGAATGGTTTAGATTCACAAAGACGTGTAGACAGGACAACGTCTGTCGGGTCCGCTAGTGTTTTTATAAGAGTAGTAGTAAATTGAGTTTAATTGCTTTTACTGACGCAGACTGGGCCAATGATCCCAATGATAGAAAATCTTATACAGGTTTTCTTATAAAGCTAGGGCAAAACGTAATTAGCTAGGAATCTCGGAAACAACGTTGCGTTGCTCTCTCAAGCACAGAGTCTGAATATGTAGCGATAAGCGATGTGTGTAAGGAGATCTGCTTTGTTAAAAATTTCATGTCAGAAATATTGTGCATGAGTTTAAAGATAGTTTTATATAATGATAATCAAAGTGCCCATAAATTATTACAACTTAAAGAGTACTGTCATAAGCGTACAAAATATATAGACTTAAGATACCATTATGTTAAGGAACTGGTACAGAATAATGTTGTGTCTATTATGTACTTAAGCACTGATAAAATGATAGCAGATGTACTCACGAAACCATTGTGTAGTTCTAAGCATGCTGAGTTTGTGAAATGTATGAATGTAAAAGTTTTAAATTTGTAACTCATTGTTAATGCATATAGAGATTGTAGAGTCATCATGTGTATAGTGAACTAACTATTGTGTAGAGTCATTACAGAGTCCTTCTATTTAATGTGTAGAGTTTCACATGTATTGCGGGAGCATATAAGGGGAAGTGTTGAACATGTATATGCTCTCTTGCATTAGCATTAAGTCCATGGTTTATGTTGTGTAGCCATAGACTACTTTTTATATAGAGGTATTGTCTCTGCCCTAATCGTTCTCTTGGAAAAATGTCGTCATGTAGGAATTTTGCTGTTGCATTTAGATCGCTTGCTATCCATGTTAATATTGTTTAATTTGCATCGTATAGTGTTAAATATTACCGATTCATATTCCTTGCAAAGTGTAATATTTGTATTTGAGAATACAAGCGTATACTTAGAAAAGTGTCTGCGTTTCAATTGTCGCCGCCGCCACCACCTGCTCCAGTACGAATTGCTTTTATGCCTTTGTGGATTTTGACGTTGTCCTTCACCACTGCCAGCTCTCACTGCTTATACAAAAACAAAACCAAAACGTTTGTTACGTTTTGGTTTTGTTTTAAAGGTAATAATATTTTTTTAAAACAGGAATCATTTAATGTTCCCTTTTGTTTAATTTATGTTTACATTTTATGCTATACTTTCTGTTACAATCATTACGACGCATTCGCGTTTAAGAATATAATATAATAAATTGTATTAAAAATTAGACTACAAGAAAAAAATTTTTCTTTACCTTCAACACCCATTTCTCCAGCGATGTTTTGCCAACACCTATCAACGACATTCCTATTTGCATGGTTCTTGTCTCTTTTATCCTATACAGCAGGGTTAAGAAAAACTTTCGCGATAAGCGCTTCTATATTCATTGTGAATTCTAAAATATAAAGAAACAAGAGAAGATCGCAGAAAAGAAGCAAGGCACTAAATAAATGTTTGTATACGACACAACCGAAAAAAACGTTACTTATAAAACTATAACCTGCAATAAGGGTTACCAACTTCAGCAATTTAGGTTAGCAATTTTTCGAAGCGTTACTTCTAAAAATATAGTAGCTGGCAAAAAAATAGAAAAAAAAAAATAGGATGTGGATATAATGGTGTCGATTTTGGAGTGATTCTCTAAACTTAAAACTAAATTTAACATCAGTCCCTCTTTTCATTCTGTATAGAGAATGACAAGGATACACTTTTGTCAAATTTAAATTTAGATTTAGAGAATCATGCCAAAATCGATACCAATATTTACTTTATTTTTGAAATAAATATATTTGTGTTGCTCCTTGCCTTACTAATATTATAATAACAATCTCCGATAATTTTTAAGAAAGCTTTTACTACATATTTTTTAGAAATATAGTATTTGATCCCCTAATATAGTATTATACTATATTTTATAGGAGGGTTGGCAACCCTACCTGTCTGCAGTCCGAGCGGCGCTGGTGAATTCAGAATCTAAACATTCTGAATCTGAATCTGAATCTGAATCTGAGTGCACTCTGGCCGCACCCTATGGGTCTAATAAATAGTCTATATCTATGATCATGCATACTCTATGGTTCCTTTGGTATACTTAGAAATAAACAGTGTAGTCGAAGGGTACGGCCAAAGTGCACTCCTGATTCAGATTCAGATTCAGACTCAGAAAACAAAGCGCGAGAAAAAGCAGGCAACCTGTTTAGACTACACTGTTTATTTCTCGCGCTTGTTTTCGAAATCTGAATCTGAATCTGAGTGCACTCTGGCCGCACCCTTACTTTACTCTTTGCTCTATGGCGACAGAAAAATCTAGATAGGGAAGCGTATAGAAAATTTTGACTGCAATAGCAAAATAAATCATAAGTCCATGATGGATACAGATCCACTGATTTCGCAAAGATTTCATTGACCTGCCATGAATGAGCGCTATTTCTTCCTTTGGAATATTTTATCGCAGTCTAACTGCAGGCCAATTATGCTCGCTAATTGTGATATTGTTTTGATGTGAATTTCACTATACGTATTATGCTCTCCGAAAAATGCGATATCAAAATGACATCAACTAGACATTAACTTATGCGCGTATTATGATCAACTCTTTAAAATGATGTCAACTTGATATCAACTTAAATGCGTGTTACGTTCAACTTTTTGACTTAAAAAAGTATCGCATAAATATCAAAAATGTGATACAGGATATGATATTGATATGATCTTGATGTGACATAGGAATGTTTCTGATTGTAAAAAATATGATAACTTAAAATTAGTAACATAAAAGCATTAAATACTGGGACGTGGTGTTATTATACTAAATTTTTTTTTATTAGCTATATTGTCGTAAAGTAATTAAACATTGCCTAAAATAGGCGATTCTTTAAAGAAAATATTAAAATTGCTGATGGAACAAACTGAAACCTAATAATTAATTCTAACTATACATGGCTGAACATTTGGGACATTTTCATTTGTTCTAGCAATTTGTAGTCTCGCAGTTAAAACTACTTAATTAAATAAAATAAAAGTAGTTTTACAGACATTCGCGTATTTAAAATACTAGCAAAATTATACATTTTGCAAGGAAAAGAATGAAATATGGGAGTATTATTGTATTTATCATAAAAAAATTGCTAAGTCATTCAAAATTATAATTTTTCGGCGGCCTTACCCTTTTAGTAACAAAGCGATTGGCGATTTTCTTTTAGAAAACGTATCATTTTGGGGAAATATAAAAATTAGTATGGGGGAATTCATAAAATTGCATCTGGCAACCCAGATATCTGGCACCAACTTTTATATAAAATTAAAATACCGTAAAAGTCAAAAATCAAAATCAAATCCTGTGATCAAATCCCAATATTAATAAAGTGTAACACCGTCAGTATTTTAAACCGTAAAATAAGTGTTTAAAACAATGTCTTTTTGTTTTTCACGAATTGTGGCACAAATAATGATACAAAAGCAACACACATCGCCATCATTGAGGTTATACGCTAGGTGGGTGAAAAGAAATCCTGCAAAAGTTATATTGCCATTTGAACCTACTGTTAAACCCAGTCTCCGAAAGGAAAAGGTTATAAGTTTAGATCCGGGAATATTATCGAAATCTAAAGAAACAAAATGTTCTAAAGAACAGAAATATTCTGAGATGCCTTCTACAAAGCCGGAATTAAATGATCATGATGATAAAGACAAATCTACACACATTTTGCAGAAGAAATTCAAGGAAATTAAATCTAAAAGAGATGAAAAGTTAAAAAAACGGTTGTTTTACCTTAATCAAAAGAAAGTATTTGATGATGACAACGAGTTGATTTATGAAAAATTAAAAGAAAATGATGGTCGTATCAGGTAAATAACAGCTAGCTATTTTGAAAAATTTCAGCGTTAACATTAGTAATTTGTAACTATTTTGGGGTTTGTTATGTGTTGTTTTTACCACCAACTGTTGGTTCGTGAATCTGAATTTTAAATGATCCAGCATTTATTTATAAATGGGATAGCATTTCCCATTTATAAATAAATAAATGCTGGAGTCACAGTTAGAATCACTAATAGTTAGGCCAAGGGAGCCATCTAATTTTGCAAAGGAATTAAGTTTTTTAATTCATTAAAATACTTAAATTAATTTTTGTTGTTACAGCAATCTCTTGGTAAAATTGAAGTCTAAAAAAGATCGACAAAATACTGGGCAAATACTAGTGGAAGGATGGCGTATGATTGTTGATGGCTTGGAAGCAAAATGTAAATTAAAGTATGTGATATTTAGTCATACTGAAGATTTAAACAATCTAAGACCATTCTTACCTAAAACTGGAGCATTGTTATATAAAATACCTTACAAAGAAATATCAATATGGTCTGATGTTGAAACTTCTTCAGGATTGATAGGTAAGTTACAAAAATAATTGTTCTGTATGTTGGCATAATTAAATTTTCTCAGAAACCACTAGCTGCTGATTTTTCTTTGTAATAAAAGAACTCTATTTACTATCAGGACAGTTACAACAACTTGTTGTCAACACCCTAGTAAACTGTTACTTTTGTTTTGAGAAAACATGAGAACCACATAGGGTCAGTTCACCTGTTCACATCCATTTAGTGCAGTTGGAAAGTTTGATGGCTATAATAAAAATATCCCAGCACTAATTTCTATGAAAAATCTATATCATGTGTTCATTATATATAGTCTATTTTAAGATTAACTTTCAGTTTTGTTCAAAATATCTATTGTTTTTTATTTAAATAGATAAACTTTGGAATAAGCATTTTACCCACTTTGCCTCCACAAAATCCAAATTACGTCCACCCGTGGACCATTTAGCGTCCATCACCTTGGAACAGGAATATAGGGCTGATATTTTTAAGAATTTGTTTACCTATTTTAACAATTTCTTTATTTTAGAATATAAATATTAAAACCTACATTACTATCATTAAAATTATCACTTTAAAAAAATAAAAATTCTTCTCAACATTGATTGGACTTAAAATTATATAAGTGGTAGGTAAATAATGATTGCACCTTTAAGAATAAACAGTAATTAGGTCTGTTAATTTTACCCTAAAGTTACAAGGTATGTTTTTCTCATCGTCGTCTTCTACATCTGAAATTAGAATACTTGTATTGTCACATTGAGAAAATTTTCTTTCTTAAATTCCTGATTTACCATTTCCTGTGTGACTTCTTGAAGAGCATGTATCTTCTTCTTTCGTTTTGGAGCAGTTTTACAAAGCGTTTGAGAGTGTTTTAAACTCTGATCTTGTTTCTCTATTCGTTCTAACTTTCTTTTTCGTATTGTTTCTTGCTTTTCGTTCTTGATCTGCTCTTTATCTTCATTATACTTACTTCATGCAGCAGAAGATATGGTTCCTAGAGTTCTTTGATTTGATTATCTTGGGAATAGCATATTCTTTGCATATGTATCTTACCGATTTATTCTTTTCTTGAATTTCATTTAACGCTTTCTTTAAATCATCTTCTGTGTATATACTCTTTTCCTTCTACTTTCTTGTCTCCGAAGAACTCATCCCAAATAGAAAAAAAATAAGAATGAAACAAATAAAGTATTTGACTGAGTGATTGAAATTACTCATTTCATTTAAAAATAGCATTAAAAACACGTAGTCTTAATAAAAATTTATAATAATAATAATCAATTTTTGAAATTTCACGAAAATAGTGGACGCAATTTGGTTTATTATTATCCCCTGTAGGTATAGTTTTCGGCCATTGCGGACGCAAATTGGAAGTTTTGTAATTTCGATGTAGTAATTCGCGTCCACCTTATTTTCATCATCATCATCAACCCATGTTCGTCCACTGCTGGACATAGGTCTCCCCTAATGCACGCCACTGCTCCCGATTTTGTGCTACTCTCATCCAGCCCACTCCAGCCAGCCTAAGAATATCATCATCCCATCTTGTCTCAGGGCGTCCTACTCTACGTTTACCGAGTCGTGGTCTCCACTCAAGAACTTTCCGGCTCCAACGGCCATCAGTTCTGCGGCTGATGTGACCAGCCCACTGCAACTTCAGTTTGCTAATTCGGTGGGCTATGTCGGTGACTTTGGTTCTCTGCCGGATTACATCATTTCTGATGCGGTCCTTCAGGGATACTCCGAGCATAGCCCTTTCCATAGCTCTCTGAGCGACTTTAAACTGGTGGACTCGTCCAGCCGTGAGTGTCCACGTCTCGGCGCCGTATGTCATAACTGGGAGGACGCACTGGTCGAAGACTTTCGACTTGAGACATTGAGGGATGGGTGACGAGAAGACTTGACGAAGCTTACGAAATGCTGCCCAGCCCAACTGAATTCTTCTATTGGCTTCTCTCTCGAAGTTGTTTCTGCCTAATCGGAGTGTTTGTCCTAGATAGATATATTCCTGAACAACCTCGAGAGGTACTCCATTAACAGCAACCAGTCCCGGATCAACGAGCTCGTTGAACATGACCTTGGTTTTATCCAAGTTCATCCGGAGACCGATGCGTTTGGAAGATTCAGCCAGGCTGCCCACCATCTCCTGTAGCTCTTGCAGCGTTTCAGCCAGGATGACGATGTCGTCTGCGAATCGAAGGTGTGAGATGTATTTGCCATTAACATTTATTCCACGTCTTCTCCAGTCGAGCGTTCCGAACATTTCCTGCAGCGCAGCGGAGAAGAGTTTCGGGGATATTACATCTCCTTGTCTCACACCACGGCGCAGCAGGACAGGCTCGGTCTGACCATTCTGCAGAATGACGGACATATTAGCGGCGCCATACAGACATCTCAGCACCTCGATATATCGCCAATCAACTTGGCACCTCTGCAAGGCCTCGAGAACAGACCAGGTCTCGACGGAGTCAAAGGCTTTCTCATAGTCCACAAACGCCATGCATAGGGGCTGGTTATACTCTTTGGTCTTCTGTATAACCTGCCTCACTGTGTGAATGTGGTCTATGGTGCCATAACCCCGTCGGAACCCAGCCTGCTCCGCAGGTTGAGCTTCGTCAAGTCTTCGTGCAAGGCGATTCGAGATGCCTCTTGAAAACAATTTATAGACATGGCTCAGGAGTGAAATTGGTCGATAGTTCTTCAGTAAGGTCTTGTCGCCTTTCTTAAAAAACAGTACAACCAAGCTCCCGTGCCACGCCCTTGGAGTTACGCCGGAGCTCCTTCAGCACCGGCTTGCCGGCAGCTTTCAATAGCTCGGTTGTGACTCCATCCTCCCCCGGGGCTTTTCCATTTTTAAGTTGCCCAAGAGCCGCCTCGATCTCCTCTAGGTCGATGTCGAGGAGATCCTCCGTCACATGGCGGGTTAATGTGGCTCTCAAATCTCTCTCATCCGACGTAGGGTGGGGCGAGTGCGATGTGTATAGCTGGCTATAGTAGGTATAAACTTCCGAAAGAATCTGGTTTCGACGTGACGACTTCTCCACTTGTTTTGGTCAACTTCGTCAGGTGGCTCCTTCCAAGCTGTTGGACAAAGACTTTAGACCCCCGGTTCTGCTCAATTGCTCTCTGTATCAAGAGTGTATTGGAGCGTCGGAGGTCACGCCTTATTAGCTTGGAGATGGGCTTATTCAGAGCCCGTTGTTCTGACGAAGTGACTAGTGGATCGTTTCGCCGCTTATCCATTAGATCCAGAGTCTCTTTCGAAAGCTTAGACCGCTTGCCCGTACGTCGCAGCTCACAGAACTTCGCACCTTCGTCCCAAAGGATTTCTACCACTTGGTCGAGTTCCTCGTCGATGTCAACGTCAATTGTGGTTTCCAAGGCAGCGAATCGATTTTCCAGATTCAGTTGGAATGCGTCAGAACCAACGGCTAATTGGAGCTGATTTGGCCGGAGCGTGGACTTCATCAATCGACAACGTTCGCGCTTGAAATCGATATTCAGAGTGCCTCTTAGAAGTCGGTGATCACTTCCAGTTTTAAACCTATTGATCACTGAGACATCTCTGAATATGCGCTTCTTGTCCGATATGATGAAGTCAATCTCGTTTTTGGTCATAGTATCGGGGCTCCGCCACGTCCATTTCCTCTGGGGCTGTTTCTTAAAGAACGAATTCATTAAGAAAAGTCCCTCGCGTTCTAAGAAATTGACGAGCATTTGCCCCCTATGATTTCTATTTCCATAGCCGTATGATCCTAACATCGATTCGCTGCAGGTCTGTACTCCCACTTTAGCGTTGAAATCCCCCATGACAACGTTAAAGTGAGCCTTGGTGGTGGTGTGTAAGGCTCGAGAGATGTCCTCGTACATCTCTTCCACGACATCATCCGAGTATGTCGACGTTGGAGCGTACACTTGTATAACCTTTAGGCTATACCTTTTGGTTAATTTAATAATGAGGTACGCAACCCTCGCCGACACACTGGAGATTTCAATAACGTTGTCAGTGAGGACTTTGTTGACCAGGAACCCGACGCCGCCCTGTGACGGATTTTCTCCCTCTCTAAAGTACATAAGATGGCCAGACTTTAAGGTCAGCGTGTCCTCGCCCTCTCTGCGGACTTCGCTCAGCCCGAGCACGTGCCATCCTATGTGCCTCAGCTCCTCCTCCAGTTGAGCTAGATGAGAGTCGAGCCGTAGCGTGCGACCGTATGACCGATATGTCGCTAAGTTCAATGTTTTTTGGCGGCCTACCGTAGCCCGGAGATTCTTAGCACCCCCTGCCCTGCCGTAACCGAGACCGCCGCCTTGGCCTGGAATAGCAGGACTACCGGGAACTGGGGGCCGGGACAATGTTGTGCTTTTCATGTAGAGGGTTTGGACCATAACCCACCACGCTGGTCCAGTGCGGGTTGGTGGGTGGTTTCGCCAGGGCCTCGTCTGTTATACAGCAGGACGCACCGCTTGCAGGGGAGGTTGGCTTGGGACCCGAAAGATGTTGTGTGGGTCCCCTTGCGTCCCACCTTATTTTATTCATTAAATATAAAAATACATAAGAAAATTTATAATTAATATTATTCCTTTCTTCACTATAAAAGTCTAGCAACAGCTATGTATCCTAAAATTAACATAAAAAAATAAAAAACTTACCATTGAACGCGCTGCTGCACACTATTTTTTATCTAAACATCCCGCGTGTACGCACTCCCTTGATGAATAACCGAGACTAACTATTTTTTTAAAGGGATTGTTTGGCGCACGTACCTTTTGTCCATGTGTTCGTGCCTCTTATATATTAAGGTATTAGCGGTAATTACTTTTCGTTTGATTGGTGTGTTAGTTTACTTATTTTTGAGGATTTTTTAAGGGAGATCCGTTAAATGGACGTGAATTGGGCGATGGAAACAGGCGAACTAACCCTATATGGTCTACTATTTATGTGGTTCTCATGTAGATGAAATCTATGTGGTGACAATGAGGTGTGACTAAGATAGTTCATAATAAATCACATTTCCATACTTGTAACTATAGGAATGTGATTTATTCCGAACTATCTTTATCTGTCTATCCCACCTCTACTCTTTTAAGTTGATTTTAAAAAGTTGAAGCTGTATACTTTAAATATGTTACCATTGTATTTAGATATTTCATTGTTTTAGTAATTAAACAAATAAAATTTGGTGTTCAATTCATATAGACAGCTAAATATAAAATTGTTTGTTGTTTACCTGTTGCAGGAATATTTGAAATGCCAACTCCAGAACATGTGAAAAGGTTAGCAAGACCATTGCCTGTAAACATTATTTGTGATAACATAAGGGTACCTGGTAACCTGGGAGCAATACTACGAGTTGCTGTGGGAGCTGGAATTGAAAAAGTATTTTTGACGAAAGGTTACATTTTGTTCCAAAACATTTAATAAAGTTGGAGCATTAAATGTGTCTGATTTTGTTTGTATAGGTATTGAAATAGTCTTTAATTAGTATTTTACAATGGGCCTTGTTCTGGCATGTAAAGATTCATGCATTCATCAACAAGGCCCATTGCACTTGACAGCAATCATCCTTTTTCATTCTTTAAAGAGCATGAGATGGAGATATTTCTGTCAAATTTAGTTTTGAATGATCCGTGAAGAAGAAAGTTTTTATGTGTGTTACGCAATCGCGAAAAGACAGCTGACTGGGTATGGATGAAATTTGTTACACATGTAGCTGTCTGATATTTATCCTAGAAAAATGAGATGTTTCTGAAGGGTAGGGTTTTTGGGGGAAAAAATTACAAATATGTCTGTGCACATTGTAATGTGCAAATGTGTAATTATTTTAATGTTAAAACTAACACATTACAATTATAAATTACTTACGCAATATAAAATCATGTAAAAATATTTATGGCAAGATTACATTATGGCAGGTATATTATTACTACTATTTATATTTATTCATCTTAGATTTAGAGAATAATGGCAGAATTAGAGCTATTAAAATTGAAAATTTAGTGATTTAACTCTTATAATGCTGTCGATTCTGGCATGGTTCTCTAAACCTAAACTTAAATTTGACAATAGTGCATCCTTGTCATTCTCTATACAGAATGAAAAGGAGAGACTGATGTTAAATTTAGTTTTAAGTTTAGAGAATCACACCAGAATTGATAGCAATATTATCATAAATGATGGATAAAAAGATGTGATCATTACTTTATCCCCCTTATTAATAACAATGAATAAGCTTAGACTAGTTATGCCGTGTTTTGTTCTTGTCACTCAAATGCCATTTGTCATTTTATCAACAGAGACAAAACATGGAGTAACTAATACAAGCTTGTCTTCGTTTTTTAATAAGGTTATATGTTTCATCAGTATTCTTCATTCTCTTAGGCCCATATTATAGAAAGATTCTCAGTGATTGATCTAGTCTTGAGCATAGAAAGGGATGTCGCTATATATAGCACATAGCAACATCCCTTTCTAACTTTACTCAAGTAAAGATCAACACTTAGTTGTCATTCTGTAATACGGACCTTAGGCTCTAACCCTAAGAATAGTTTAACATATAATATTTTCTTTCAGGATGTGTTGATCTTTGGGATCCAAAAGTAATAAGAAGTGCATCTGGTGCCCACTTTCGATTACCAGTTTATTCTTCTGTAAGCTGGGAAGAAATGCCAAAGTATTTAGAACAAAATAGTTCAGTACTTATTGCAGATAGTAATGCAAAAGTAATTTGTGACAATTACGATCAAGTGGAAATAATTGATGATCTACAGGAGATGCCAATCCCAGTTGTGCCATATTATGGAGTGCAATATCAGGATATGAAGCATATAACTTTAATAATTGGTGGAGAAACTGAAGGCATAAGTGAAGAGAGTTATTTGTAAGTTCAAAACAGATTTTATAATAGATTCAATTAAAATAAAGAGGGGTAATAAATATTTAACTTAGTGTGTATTGTTTCCTACAATGGGTAAGGTTAAAATTTTATATAAGTACCAATAGCATAAATGTGTCAAAAAACCAATTTACACACATTTAATAACTTTGGTTATCAGTATGTAGAACTAGCAATGGGCCCCAGTCATGGGTCATTTATTCCATGAAAACAATATGACAATGTGTCAGAAATTGTGTAAAATATGATTTAAATCTTTGGTAAAATACATATAATCAATCCAATTTATAAGACATAAGTGATAAAAATTTCAATTCTAGCTTAAAAAAATTACAACTTCGTTTATCATACAAATAATAGCTAATTAAAGTCATTAATATTAAATAAAAATGAATTTGATTAAAATTTGCATATTCATCTGCAATATAAAAACTATTTTCCAGTAGATAGGACCTCAATCTGCTTTTAAATATATTTTGTTATAGTTTTCAAATTATTCAGCTATGTTTCAAAAAATACAGCTTGATGTCTCACACTATGTTTTACTATTTGCAACTTTGGGCTTTGCTAACCCAAAATACCTATGATTTGCTTTGCAAATTACTTGATCTAAACACATTTATTAATTTTACAGATTTGCAGCTAAAGGAAATGGTCTGAGACTTAACATACCTCTGCAAAGAGGTATAGACAGCTTGAATACTGGTATGGCTGCTGCAATTATAGCATTTGAAATCAGGAAGCAGTTTTTAGAAACATGGACCAAAGATAAAATAGAAAGACAAGCTTCCCATGTCAGCTAGGCCTTCAGAAATGTTAACGTTGTTTAAGTTTAAATGGTATTCATTATTAAATATTGATTATAGTTCCAGTATATTTATTTTATTTAAAAATCAACCATTTCGAATGAGAAGTGTTTCCGAGGCATTTGTTATTTGATTTTGAACTATTTGTGGTCTTTATAAAAGCATCTAAGGCATTGTTTTATTTTTATAAAACAGATTATACACAATATTGTTATATTGAGTGTACCTACATGCAGCTTGTTTGAATGTCCAATAGTGACTACAGTGAATCGTGATCATCCACTACAATTTAAGCGGATAAGCCGCGAGTGCCTTATCTTCCCTTTTTGTTTTATTCTATGCTATTGGAACATACCAACATTTATAAAAAAGAGAAATGGAAAATTAATATGAAACAGTTAATTTTACCAGTTTACAATATGAAGATCTGAAATCTAAAATGGAGGAGAAGAAAATTATACTTAATATCAAAATTAAATACTTACAATGAGACAGTACTGAGTTCTGTTATAGACTTGACTTCCCGACTGAACTTGGTAGAACAATATATGCGCGACACCAATTTGGAAATTAATACAAATTACAAAACCAATGCATCCGTGACACCATTCTTGTTGCAGTTATCAATCATATTAAGAAAAATCCCGTCAACAAACTGAGTTCCCAACATCTGGGAATTGGAGGACCTCGCATTCCAGTATTTGTTGCAGTGCACCTTACTCCGACTGAAAAGTCCTTGCACGCTGCCGCACGAATAAAATGTGAAAAGACAAGAACTACAAAGTGTGGCTCCGAAGTGGTCGTATACATGGAAGAAAATATAAATCGAGTGAAGCACTACTGATTCTCGATTCGAGCAGTATAATTTATTGACTGATTGTACACAACTATTGAAGGTGTAAATAACTGGACTGCATTATTATGAATTATTTTGTCAAAGTTTGTTCTGTATACTGTTGGCGTGTCATAAATAAATAAATAAATGTCATATTAAAATTTAGTAAAAAACTTTAACTAGCTCTGTGGTGCAACACACACTTTTCTTGTACTTATTTAGGCAAAGATATTCAACCAAAGAGAAAAGATTAAATTCTTATAATAGAATTTTTCGTTATATTGTCATAGTAGATCACATACAACTGGAAAGGAACGCGATGGCTCGGGTGGGAATGGTTAGCGCATTCGACTGCGATCGTTGTAGTTGAGCAACTTTTGCAGTGGTCGGTCATTGATCTTGAGGGTGACCAAAAATCTTCTATCTCGAATTCCTCCGTGCTTTGGAAGGCATGTTAAGCCGTTGGTCCCGGCTGCATCTGCAGTCGTTAGCACCCGCCAATCCGCACTGGGCCCGCTTGGTGGTCATGGCCTAATCTCCCTATTCCATCCATAGGGAAGGCCCGTGCCCCATCAGTAGGGACATTAATAGGCTGATGATGATGATGATACACTATACCGAGGACATCCTAGATGTCAGCCTGTACGAGATCAGAATGGCTCTCAAGCAGCTTAAAAACAGTAAAGCACCGGGTGATGACGGAATCACTACACGGAGCTTCTGAAGGCGGGCGGTAAGCCGGTCCTCGTGGCCTTTCTAAAGCTATTCGACTCTGTCATCCTCGGTGGCATTGTTCCAGAGGCGTGGACCAGGAGCGTGGTTGTATTGTTCTTCAAGAAAGGCGATAAAACCCGCTTAAAGAACTATCGACCTATCTCGCTTTTGAGCCATACGTCTATAAGTTGTTTTCGACGGTCATTACAAATCGACTTTCGCGCAGCTTCGACGACTTCCAGCAACCCGAACAAGCCGATTTCCGAAAGGGCTTTAGTACCATGGACCACATACATACGCTGCGTCAGATCATACAGAAGACCGAGGAGTCTAATCGGCCTCTGTGTCTAGTGTATGTGGACTATGAGAAGGCCTTCAATTCGGTCGGGACATGGGCGGTGCTGCAGTCCCTCCAGCGGTGCCATATTGACTATCGGTATATCGAAGTGTTGAAGTGTTTGTATAGAAACGCCACTATGTCAGTCCGAATCCAGGAGAGAAGTACGAAACCGATTCCATTGCAGAAGGGTGTCGGACAGGGGGACGTAATTTCCCCGAAACTGTTCACCGCTGCATTGGAAGACGTCTTCAAGCTTCTGGATTGGACCGAACTCGGCATCAACATCAACGGCGAATGCATCACTTACCCTCGATTTGCAGACGATATCGTTATTATGGCAGAATCTCTGGAGGACCTTAGCACAATGCTCAATGACGTCAGCAAAGTTTCCCAACGGGTTGGTTTGAGGATGAACATGGATAAAACCAAGGTCATGTTCAATGTCCATGTCACTCCAGCACCAGTATCTGTTGGGAATGCGATTCTCCAAGTTGTCGATCATTACGTCTATCTAGGACAAACAGTCCAGTTGGGCAAATCCGAAAACGATTTGCTAAATTATGAATAAAGTTGCGATTAAACTTCTTTTTTATAAAATGAAGATAGTCTGATACATAGAACACAGAAAGAGCTGTGTTCTGTGGTCTGATACTTCTTATAATTTCTTTAGTTTTTGTCCATAGTTTTTTGAGGCGTGTTTTCTTGCTCGTTTTTAACTACCGATTAACACATTAGGAAAACGACTTTTCTTTGAAATGCTCTTAATAAAACTAAAAAATATATTTATCTCAATAAATTCCTCTTCATTTTATTAACATGAAAGTGAAACACACTTTCTGTAGGTATAACTTTGATAGTTGCAAGTTTTATAGTCTTTGGGAAAATAAAATCAGATTTTCGAGGTAACTAGTGAACCGATGTCTTCGCTGTCCAGTGTAGATATTATCTGCCTTCATTGATAGATATATATTTATAGTATAGGTGATGGGTCAAGCAAATTCAGTTCTTCACTATAGAAACTAGATAAATTTTCGTGGACCACATCCTCGTGTCTCTTCTACTCTCTTTGATTAAATCAAATAAAGTCACATTCATAATACCGGCTATACACACTACGAGAAATCGTTACGATTAGACTGTACAGTCCGAACGGTACCGATAAATCGTAGCGTGTATGTTATAAAACTGCACAGTTTCCTATACTAAACGAAATCGTATAAACTGTTCCGTTCGAACTGTATAAATAAGTATTTCCAACACTCACAACCAATTAGCCTAGCCCCAAAGTAAGCACTGTAAGGCTTGTGATATGGGATACTAGGGTAACAGATAGAATACTTAAACAGTACATTATAATTAGTATATTTATAATAAAATACATATTAAAATCCATGACTGGAGTACAAATGCTCGTATTCATCACACAAACATCTGCCCCCACCAGGATTCGAACCCAGGACCTCTCGAGTCGGCGACACCATGAAACCCGGCGTACAAACCACTCGGCCACGGAGGTCGTCAAATATTGTAAAAATAAATAGCAATCTTTTAATCCTCGACATACTTTAACGAATCGCCAATCTGAAGCTTAGTACATTATTTTCGGTACATTTGGATCCGAAGGTGCTTCAGTAGCCGCGTCCTGATTGAGCGAGCAGCAAATCCTTGGTCGGTCAGGTCAGGACTTGCCTCGCCCGAGGCAAATGCACGCGCTGCCTTGCCCGAGTACGCATCGCCCCGAGCCCAACGTTAGGTTTTTGTGTATGCTCAAAAGTGCCTCTACGTTTGCCGCGCGCACTCAAGTCGGTTGTATTTATTACTTGTTTGACGAACTTCGGAATCGTTTGCGTCATGGTTAAAGAATAATGTCTTAATGGTGAATGTAGACTACTACGGAACGCACAATATTCTAATTATACCAAAGAAGACTAACAGAAGATGCGTGGAGAGTCATTTTGTGTAAGTAAGCAAATAATTAAAATAAAGCGGGGCCATATTTAATTCAGGGCAGGCGGGGCTGTGGCTCAGGGGTACAGAACACAACAGAGGTAATAAAGAAGTAAATTACGACAGGTCTCCAACCAGGGGGAGAGCAAATCATAAGTTAAGCCCGACGTTCCAGATTTGATTTTTTTGCACGCAACTGTATATAATCCGCAACTTTAAGAAAACTTATTAGAGGAGGCCTATGTCCAGCTGTGGGCGTCTCTCGGCTGATATGATGACGATGATGATGAGACTATTGTAACTAAGATAATATAAACCGATCCCCTTACAACATGTAAAGACTGGGGAGGCGAATTTATTTAAATGAGAGGAAGTTACAGAAATACCTACATTAATTTTCGAAAATCGTATGATAAGGTAGGTAAAAAATATCCTTTGGTCCGTTTTCTTAACCATTATAAGTACACTTTTGAACTTTTGTTATTTATTTATTATTATTATTTGAATATTTGTTAAAAATTAGGGAAGATGCATATATAGTATTTATGAAAATGTTATAATTAAAATGTTAAAAAATTATAAAAGAAATGCCACTGCAACGTTTTTATTTTACATAATGTTGTTTTTTAACAATTATTACGAATTAAAAATACTTGAAACGGAACGTATTTGAAAACACCAATCAGCGTTTAGTGACGTCACTCCTGTTATGACAACTTCTTTGAGGTTATGGTTGTTAAAGTAAATATTATTTTATGGGAATATTTATTGCGTTTTTTTACATTTAATAAAAATGGAAGTTGTGTTTATCGAAGCAGACTCCAGGAATTTACCAAGAGTTAGCGTTGACATGGTTATAACTTTTTTTGTACAAGTGCAGAGTTTTTAAGTGTAGAAATGAAAGGGACTAAATTACTGCGGTATGTAAAAATCGTAGTTGTTAAACTTCGTATTTTATTCAGCGGCTTCTACAAATCTTACGGCGATAATGCAATCGGCTATGTCCAAATTAAAAGATGTACAGTAAAAGGTCGAGTTCTCCGGCGCATAAAGTAGGTACGTAAAGAAAGTTATCGTGTTACAGTTATTTTAAATGAAACGCAAAGCTTGGTTCAGTCCTGCCAATGTGAAGATTGTGCCACACATTTTAAACTTTATCTAATTTTCGACGTCATTCTCCAACTGTAAAATTAAAAATATGTTATAGACAGGTTTTGTAAGTATTAAGTAGGTAGGTTACTAATGCGTTTTTACGTACAAGCAGATTAATTAAGCATATACAAGTATATTCGCCGACTTACGTCAAAGTGATCTTCTCAGCATCGAATAATGGTCTTTGGAGAATAATTGTCATTTCTCTTCGCAGCTTGAAACCACTTTTTTTCAGTTTTGGGTCAGAAGTCAAAAACAAGTTATTTGGGAACTTTGTTGAAGTAGATTGGCACAAAACATGAGTCAACACGGCTTTTTTTTTTCAGAATATTAGTGGTATTGTTATGATCACATGATGTTGATGGATAGTCCATTTTAAATTTTTCAAAAAAATATTTCGGAAGTCGAAAAAATATGCAAAAGTATGAAAATTTAAAGACAGCGACGAACAAGTACGACCAGTGACAGACAGGAGTGACGTCATCACAACCATAGGTTCGTTTTCGCGCGAAAATTTAAATTGTCAATTTAAAACCGCATTTTTTTCGATAAATCACAATGTTTTAATTTTTTAATATATCTGTGGTTTATTCTACATGGAATTCTTTAAAATGAAAACAAAAATAAAAATATTGCGTCTTCCCTAAGGTCAAAATATTGCATTGCAAATAAGATTGAATTCGCCACAGTGCAGTATAATAATTAATAATATGTATTAAATATATTCTTTACTCAAAGCCACATTTAGGTATTAGTTCATGGATTTGTCCATGAACTAATACCTAAATGTTCGAGAGGTTCGATATTGTTTGTCCTCAGGATTCGGTTTACAGGTTGCCTGTTTATCTTTTACAATAGTTTTTTAACAGGTAAATATGACATCATAAAAAGCTTAGATCCTCTTTTTGCAACACAAAAAAAAAAATAGTTTATTGTCATAATAAAACCACTGTGGGACGTTGAAGCAAGTTAAATTACTTGGCAAGTGTTTCCCAGCCAAGTTGCATTGACGTCATCCGTGTTCGCTAGTAGGCCCATGTCCAAGTAGGCTATCCCCTAGACTAGATCAATGACAGTAGTCGTCCGCCGCGCCACTTCCACTGCCAGCAGCAGTGATATGCTGTAAAATTTTCACGTGCGGATCCGATGCGGATCCG